ATGCATAGTGGAGACCCCCAAGGGGTATGGATAATGGTCCCTCTAAGCTGAGTCAGTGTGAGCTAGCTCACAGTTTTTTAGCCTCCAGCTCACACATTTTTGCCTTAGCTCAGGGAGGATGGCTCCAGAGCAAACTAATTCATGCAGTAGCCAAATCGCTCGCTCACAACTTTAATGCCAGGAGCTCACCAAGTAGAATGTTTGCTCACCAGACTCCACAGCTTAGAGGGAGCATCGGATGTGATCCTTCCTGTAGCTACTGCTTAGACTGACAAGCAAAGGACGCTCAGGACAGGATCCGGCCTTCCTTTCCCAGCAAAAGCAGCTGGGGCCCCTGGGCATAGTGTGTTTCCTACCACAGGGTAAAGGTCTTTTCATAAGCGAGGGACGAGGGTCTCTTCAGCTTGCTGACTGATAAGGAGGAAATCACGTTTTCCAGGAGGGCTCCACTTGGCAGAAATTATCACTAATTTTTATTTATTTATCTATTGATTTACATCCCACTTTCCTCCTCAGTTGGGACCCAAAATGGCTGCCGTGAACGGGTGTCCATACAGATAGTGGTGAAATTTCTTCCCCCCCCTGCCACAATAGCCAAGGCCTCTTTATCAATTTGCGCATAGTTGCGCTCAGCCGCTGACAGAGTCCATGAATAATAGGCAACTGGGACCTCGCGGCCGTCCGGCAGCCAATGTCCCAGGACCGCCCCGACCCCGTAAGGCGAAGTGTCACAAGCCAGCACCACGGGGAGGGCCTCGTTGAAATGCGCCAGGACCGAATTTGACACCAGCAGGTCCTTAACTGCTTGGAATGCCGCGGCTTGTGGCGGGCCCCAGACCCAAGATGCCGATTTGTCCAGGAGACGGTGGAGCGGCTCTGCAACTGCAGCTTTGAGGGGCAAGAAGGAATGATAAAAGTTCAATAGCCCCAGAAAAGCCTGCAGCTCCGCTTTAGATTTTGGGGGCGGTGCATGTGTGATGGCTTTCACCTTGTCTGTGGTGGGGTGGATGCTGGAGGCATCGACCGTGAAACCAAGAAACTCCATATGAGGGACCCCCAGCAGACACTTCTCCCGCTTGACCTTGAGGCCTGCCGTGTCGAAGCGATGTAACACAGCCC